GCTGTCTCAAAAAGGGCTAGGGATGTGGCTCAGTGGTAAACGCTGGGTTCAATCTCGTACAAAAAAAAGAAAAAGAAAAATATTACTAAGGAGCGTAACTGAAGATGACATTTTGAAGTAAAACCATAGTAAGGACAGTGACTGATTGGTAAGACAGATGGGTGATCTTTTTATATTAAAGCACAATAGCCAGTGTTTTTACTTATTGACCTTACTTTGGTGGCCTCTGGGCAGGTGCTGTTCTCATTCCTTCATACTAGTCAAAAAAGGGGCTGGGAGTGTGGCTCTGTGGTAGACCACTTGCCTAGCCCGTGCAAGGCCCTGGGTTCCATCCCCAGCACCACACACATACACAATAAATAAGTAAATAATAAACTTGTCTAACAAGCCCCTGAAGAACACCTAACACCACTGTGGACCACCTTGTGTCTGCTAGAACATAGTGATAGCTAGGTTTATAAAAAGTCCTGCATCTGGGGGCTGGGGTAGTGGCTCAGCAGTAGAGCACTTGCCTAGCATGTACGAGGCACTGGGTTTGATCCTCAGTACCACCTAAAAATAAATAAATAAAACAGAGGTATTGTGTTCATCTACAACTTTAAAAAAAAAAAAAAAAGTTCTGCATCTAGAGATGTGCTGCTTTTGTAATAGATGCCTCCTGAGAAGTATGGATGTTCTTGCCTTCCGAATATTTGATACAGGGAAATATAAGCTCATTCCTACTCTTAATTTAGTGAGATAAATTATATAGTAACAAGAAATTAATAGAAGAGATGCCTCAAGCCAGCATGTAACAGCAGTTTTAACTGAGCAGCATGGAAAGTAAGTGCTGTAACTCTTTGTAGGGAGAGGTCACTAAGAACCACAATAGGGGAAGAGGGCCTTGACAGAAGGCCTACTGTCAGGTCCTGTGGATGGTGTCACATTCAGACTCCCAGTGTTTCTCTTTCTGTGCGACCCCAAGCTGACTGATACTTTAACGCAAGGATATTGTGGCCTGACATTGAGGTTTGTGGCTTTTCCTATAGGGTGTGGGGGAAATATGAAGACAGATACTGTGCAGATGGTACGTTTGGTATCTGATTTGGGCAGATTGATTGCACTATTTTGGCTTATTTGTGGAGTCATCGAAAGTTCAATAAATCTAAAATCAGGCCTCCTTTTTTTGTTTGTCCCAGGGATTGAACCCAGAGGCACTTAACTACTGAGGCATATCCCCAGTCCTTTTTGTATTTTATTTAGAGACAGGGTCTCACTGAGTTGCTCGGGTCCTTGCTAAGTTGCTGAGTCAGGTTTTGAACTCGCCATCCCCTGCCTCAGCCTTCCAAGCCACTGGGATTATAGGAGTGTGCCACTGTGACCAGTGGATTCACCTTTTTTTGGTGGGGGAAAAGTAGTACGAGGATTAATTTCTATATCAGAAGCACTCAACCACTGAGCCACATCCCCAGCCCTATTTTGTATTTTATTTACACTCAGGGACTCACTGAGTTGCTTAGTGCCTCGCTTTTGCTGAGGCTGGCTTTGAACTCATAATCCTCCTGCCTTAGCCTCCAGAGCCGCTGGGATTGCAGGCACGTGCCATTGCACCTGGCTCCAGACCTGCTTTTAATAGTGATGTGGATTGATGTAGTCTTAAAATTATGTTTCAAGAATCTTGAAGTTCCAGGTAGAAATATGGATTGCTGCTTTCCTTCCTTTTTCCAACTATGGGTACTTATGTACTTATTCCATCACAACATATCAAATCCTTTCAGAAGAATTTTTTTTTTTTTTTTTTTGGTGGTACTGGGGATTGAACCCAGGGCCTTGTGCATGCAAGGCAAATACTATACCAACTGAGCTATATCCCCAGCCCTTTCAAAAGAATTGTGAATATTAAGGGGGAGAACAGGAAACACCAGACATGGGGAATCATATTTAATCTTGAAGTGATGAAAGTTTTGCAAACAGAACTAGTTTCCTTAGTGTATAAAAGTTTCTTACAAGTCAGTAAGAAAAGATTCAGGATATAATAGAAAAATTGTCAGAAGATATAAACAGTTGGGCTGGGGGTGTGGCTCAAGCGGTAACGCGCTCATCTGGCATGCGCCGGGCGCTGGGTTCGATCCTCAGCACCACATAAAGATAAAATAAAGTTGTTGTGTCCGCCGAGAACTAAAAATAAATAAATAAATAAAAAGATATGAACAGTCCATTAATTAAAAAAGAACATATTTTAAATTATGGAGGGGTGGGGGTGTGGCTCAGCAGCAGAGTGCTTGCCTAGCATGTGTGAGGCCTGGTCACAAATTCTGCATTGGTTTCTATATCTGATCTACCTAGACCAAGGTGGTGAGTCCATACAGAGCCTCCACTTCCAGTGTAGTCCTGCAGGGTTTTTCCCAGCCTCCTTCCTGCTGTTACCACCTTTCTCTCTCAGGGAAGAGCTGAACTTGGTCCACACCCAGAGCAGTTTGGGGCTTGCTAATGTATACTGATGAACAGATTTAGCAACCTGAGTACAGTAGTTATATGCAGTCCTTTTTGAGTTTAGCTTCACAATAAACACCAATTTCTGAAATCACTTAGGTTAGTTCTTGTTTCCTCTTAGGCTCATTGTATCATCTGTAACACGCACCTTTGCTACTGTTTGTGTTTCCTTCTGTGTTCCTGCATGCCCTGCATGGTTAATGGCTCATTTAAAACATTGCTATAGTTCAAAGAGTTAGATATACAAAGAGGTATACTTAGGAGTGTCACATACCCTCCCTCTTTCCACTCCATTCACATATACCATTTGGGGGTTGAATCCCCAACACACACCAAAAAACAAAACTGAAGTCTTCTCAGTCCCTGTGAATGTGACCTATTTGGAGATAGGGTCTTTGCAGTGATCAAATTATGCTGAAGTCACTAGGGCAGGCACCAGTCTAGCATTCTTATAGGGCTGGGGATGTGGAGAATGGCCATCCAGAAAACTCAGGTGGAGCCAGCCGTGCCCACCCCTTGATTGCTGACTTCTGGTCTCCAGAATTCTGAGACAATGAGTTTCTGTTGTTTAATAAACCATCTGGTTTGCGGCACTTCTTAGGGCAGCCACAGGAAACAATACACACCTCCTTGTAGGTAACCAGTCTATTGTGGTTTTGAATTGTGTCCCCAAGAAGACTTTTCAGGCCCTGACCACTGATACCTGTGAACTAGTTGAAACAGATGCCTCTGATTTCAGGTGTTCTTTTGGGGTAGAGCAAGGTGGCAGAAGAAGAGCTGAGGGGACCAGGAGCCCCAGTGGTGAGGAAAGGGCCTCCAGCAGAGCAAGAGGTCGGGTGGAGGGAGGTGATGGTCTCGGGAAGTGTGCTCCATGGCTGGAGTGGACTGAGGCTTGCTCTTCCCAGCTCCGACCCACCAGAGTGGAATGCCAGCCCCTGCAGGAGCACCGTGTGTGTGTGTATACACGTGTACGTGAACAGAAGCTTAGCAAGTGCTTCCATGTGCCATCAGGGCTCAGGTGAAAGTGTGGGTATAGGGGCATCACACACCTGCTGGAGGGCGGGGCAGGAGGCAGTTGGCAGGCTGTGACTGGAGTGCGGGAGTCCCAGCCCAGAGCAGCCCGCATCCATGTGGTCGGGGTCACAAGTGCCCCACAATTTCAACAACAAGGTGGAACCAGGCGATGTTGAGGTGACCATGTAGAGTTAAAGACTGGATCTCAAGCTTTGCAACTCTTGCTGTGAAGGGATGAAGCACTGGGTCAGAGGAGGGGAGGGCCATGAGTGCTGCTGGGGTGGCCTCCTGTATGAAGTGTGGGGAGGGGTTGCCAAATAGACGGTGGGAAGAGAGAACCCAGGGCATGGCCTGACCATGCAGGAGTGTTGGCATCTTAAATGTTTGATGGGCTGGGCACGGTGGCCACACCTATAATCCCAGCGACTTTGGAGACTGAAGCAAAAGAATCGCAAGTTCCAGGCTAGCAATTTACTGAGACCCTGTCTTAAAAAATGAAAAGAGCTGGAGATGTAGCTCAGTGGTAAATAACTCTTCAGTTCAACGCCCAGTACCAAAAAAATTAATAAATAAATGGGGGAAAAAAACAGGGCTAGGGCTATAGTTCAGTGGTAGAGCACTTCCTAGCATGTGTGAGGCACTGGATTCAATCCTTAGGACTGCATAAAAATAAATAAAATAGGGGCTGGGGATGTGGCTCAAGTGGTAGCGCGCTCGCCTGGCATGCGTGC